TTTTTAATTAAATTAAATTTTTTAAAAAGTTATTTCTATTATTCAATTTAATTACGCGGTTTAACTTAATAATTGAATTAAAACGAATTAAATATTTTGTTTTGGATGCCTATTAGATTAGRYTTCCTAYTCTTACCGCTCTTKATTATTTTGTTTCTTTTTATAGTATGTCTTTTTATTCCAATTCATTTTCGTATCCACACAAACATCATTTTTTCTTCTTTTTGAAAAATTCAAATCATAACATATATAGAAAAAAATCTATGTTTTTTCATCATGTAAATTATCTTATTATTTAATTTGTATATAAAAAATATCATCAAGCAAAGATGAATGGGGATCTAATTCTTAAAATTGATTATATGTTGATATAAACGGATATTAAATATTTTTAAAAAAATTTGATTGGTAATTAAATATTTGTGAATTAATGCTGATTTACAAGACTTTTCTAAAATAACAAAAATGCCATTAATGTGCCACAAAAATAAAAAACGAAAAATGTACTCAAAATAGCCGAAATTGTACTCAAAATTACTGAAATTGCCATTGTATCAGTTCAAATTTACCCTTTTCAATTTAATCAATTTAGTTATAAGACAATGGCAATTTAAGTAATATTGGAAATAATTTTTGACATTCTCCTAAATGTACTTCTCTTTTAATATTATAGAGATTGTAATAAAAGAAATCTACTTCTTCTTTTTTAATCGTATGGATTTATGAATTAGTACAAATTATAAGAATAATTACACAAATGACACACAATTTTAGTCTAAAGAAATCTACTTTAGAAAAATGATAATTTTGATCAATTATTAAAAAATAAAAAAAATATACGTAAGAAGTTAAGAACCCTATACAATCTTTGAAAATCATAAAAACGGAAATGAAAATTAATATTCTAAAATTATATAAGGGCTCATTGGATAGTCTAACCAACAAACTTATTGAAATTTCAAAATCAAAATAATTTTAGTAGAAATTTACTTAACTGATAGATACAACAATTTGTTTATGGAATGATAAATATATAAACAGATTACCCAAGTCCCAATGATATGCTAATTTTTTTTTTGATCAAATAATATGCTAATCAATCTTATATAATATTTTTAGGTGTTTCTAAACCCAAGTCATGACAGAATGTCACGTGTCATCAATTTTTTTTGATATTTGTCTTTTGGATTTATTTATTAAAAAAAAAATGTTTTTAATAACTTTAACAATTAATTCCTATAATTTAATAGCTAAGTTTAATGTAAATTAATTCCAAAAATTAAAGTGTAACATAAGGATAACCAATTTTAGTTTGTTCCTTTCTTTGATATCCACCAAAAATTATAATTTCAAATTAAATGTGTTATTGTAAAGTTTTAACAGTTGAAAAATATATATTTTACTTATTAAACCCATCAATATACTATCCCAAAATATTAAAAATTTTAGATAGGTAACTACGATTATAAAACAAAAAGTCACAAAAAACTTTAATAAAAAGAATCGTAACATTAACCAAAAACAATGGTGTGAGAAAATTAATTAGTGATTTTTGAAATTTTAAGAGTGTTAGAATGCTACAGTTATCTCATAACATAACCATTGTTATCTCAATCATCTCATAACCAATACTCTCAAAAGAAAATTTACTATCCTACAAATTTTGAATCCCAAAACACATAATAATTCACAAGTGTATCAATGTGAAAGATAAAAATCGTAGAAAAGCGATAAAAAGAGTGAAAAAAATACAATCAAACATCAATTATTATTTCCGTACAATTTAAAATTCTAACGAAATAAAACACAAAGATGCATTTAAGACATCTCTGTTGAGATAATGCAAATTTATTGATAAAAGCACAATATAATATAGCTTGTCTAATCAATATTTTTTTTTTTACAAACGTATTTGGTGCAAAAAAATGACCAATTAATTTTTTAGGGAACCGTAGTGAATATTGATAAATTAAAGACATACAAGTTGCGGATTTGTGCAAAAGAAGATATTTTTCATATGCATTCGCTGTAATTTTTATTAATGAACAATCTATTTTTCATGTATAACTTTGTATGTGTCCAATAATTTGTTCCAAATATTTAATCTTATAACCTAGATAATTATTTAGTACAACAATATTTTTTTGTAATATTAAATATATAAATAATCAATAAGCTAGAATTGTTACATATTTTATCATATTAATTTTTAAATATACGCGACGCCTGGACAATCTCTAGTACTATAATAACATAAGAAATCTCTCCAGCAGTGACACATCAGCTTCTCTGTGTTATGAGGAGGTCACACATTAGATAGTAATAGCCAATAGAAACATTTTAAGTTGACACATCATTTAAAATTTTACACATCAGCTCCTTTAGTAAAAAATCGCAATTAAAACAGGGTAATCTAATCTTCGACTATCAAATCCGCTTCGTCTTCTATGCTCACATTTATTCCTTGGACTATTCCTCTTCCAAACTTTTCTCTACAAATAATCTCAGCAAAAATTGCAAAATTACAATCATGAATATTCAGCTTCCGGAGTTCCGAGAAGGTGCGTTTGAGGTGACGGAAGAGGTTTCATGGTTAGGGTTCAATACAAACCGTCGTATCGGCGGCAAAGGAAGCAGCGTGGTTTCTTGGCGGCTTGTGAGTGAAGAGATGCTGAATTAATATATTCAAGAAGGTGACATTGATAGAAATACAATGGTGGCTTCGATTCGTGATGTGGGCAATGAAGATTTCATGTTTGAAGAGGTTTGTGCATTTTACTGTTGTTGTTCTTATTGATCTGGTTATTAAACAAGATTGTTTTTGGTAAACTCTTCTTGAGGAATTAGATTGTGTTTCGACTGAGGAATTAGAAAGTGCTCTTGGATCAAAACTGCTTTGGAAGAGCAATAATAATCATGAATATTCTCAAATTCAATGGCCGGTGCGCATATTCTAGGTTCTGTTTTGGCTATCGTACATATATGGAGCTCATGTGTCGCAGGTTATCTCGATAGACTGAAGAGTCATATCAAGCGTTGGGTTATTCTTCACGAAAAAACGGCTTTAATCACCGTTGATCCAGAGATGGCAAAGTTACACCGTAAGTATCCGTAGATGTGATATTACTACCATTAGTGGATCTAAGGCTGGAATACGGTGATAGAAACGGTAAATTCATTAATTGTGCCACGAAAAAAAAAGCCAAAAAAGAAGATTCTTCGAAAGGGAAATCAATAATCATTGATTCGAGTGCGAAGGTCATATGGTCATATGTATGTTATGATTCAATATCAAAATCTTAAGTTCTCTGGTATTTGTTTGCAAATAAGAGATACGATGAAGAAAACTCATGTACAAACAAATGACTATATATGTTTGTGAGTGTTGTGCAGGCTAATTCAGCATCTGAGATGCAAGCTTAAGTTGTCGGAGTTCAAAGCACAAATGACGTATAGGTCCATAATCTTCAATAATCAAGATTGATGACAAAGTTCAGCAAGTTCAAATTCAAAAGCTTGGGAATCTAGAAAAACTTATGACGATTTAACCAACTATATCCCACATAATGTCGATATGCAGTCTACGATTTTGATTTCACCACCCAAGATAATTGTCAAAAGAGTAAAATGTTTTTCATTTCATGGTGACACATTTTCCATCTCTCTACTTTTTTTTTTCCAAGATCTCAAGTTATGTATCTTTCTATATTTATGATCTTTTATTCTCCAGGAATCTCAAAAGACTGCTCTAAGAGAGAATTGGTTGGACTTTCAAGTAAGTGAACCTAAAAAAACGGATGAACACAAATCGGT